CACACACGCGGATACGCCAAATGGTTCGTTTTCATTTTTATTTTTTTGTTGCATTTTTTTTATAGTAACACTGTTTGCTTTGCATCGTTCCTTGCAACGCGGGCGAGAGATCGTCGCCAGTCGCGCGCGATCCACAAATTCATCACTTGCGTCAATCGATGATTGCGCAATGCGAAGAGATCAACAGGTGTCCCCTGTGCACCACGTGGCGGTCGATCTTTCGCCCCACCCCTCCCCCCCCGACACGAACTTGCTTTCCCTCTCTTCTCCCCTCTCTCTATCTCTCTCACACTCTCTCGCTCTCTCGTTTTTTTTTTTAATAGTTAATATATTAAAATATTACAAACTATGGCGAAGAAACGTTGATTCGAAGAAATAATTAGTATGAATCATATATCCACGGCAGATCATCCTCGTGCTCGTAACATTTTGAAAACTTGACTCGATTAGTTTCTTTTCTTTTTTCTTCCATTTGTTTTTATATAACAATTAATATTATGATGATATCGATCCTCGAAATAAATAACGTTTAAGAGTTTGTATATACTGTTAAACGTTCCTAGCGTTTCACGTCTCTTGTTAACATTGTTCAACCGATATCAGGTTGGGGGGGGACGATGCACCATGAAGATGAAAGGGTGCAAATTAATTGCTTCTTAAAATCGACTTCTTTCTCGTATCTGGGTTAATTTAGATTCGTACAATCGTAACATTTTAATGTTTTGTTTTTGTTTTTATGTTTTTTGGGCTTGTATTGTATCGAACAAGGAAAATCAAAAAGATCAGAACTGTACAATCACATTGTGTCGTGTGTAGAAAGTAGGGTTGAATATTATATATCGTTTACAAAACGAATCAGAACGATTTATCTGCTGTACTGATTGTAACTAATCGTTTAGGTGAAGTTTCTCCTGTTTTTTTCTTCTTTTTTTTTTTTTTCGTCTTCTATATCAAACTCACGTTACATTCTTCCGGCTGTACGAATTCAGAGTGCTACAAGTGCTATTGGACATCAAAGGCGAAATATATGAAACCTAGAATATGATCTACTATTATTCCTTATAACTATTTACAAAGTTCGTTAACCAAAGAGCTTATCGAGAAACAATACAATACGATTGAAAAGGCACAACAGTTGCACTTGTAATAAAACTTATTTTTTAAACCGTGTTCAATGAAAAATGCTTCTGCATACTTTTATGCCAAAAATATAAACCCTTTATGGACAAAAAGGCCGTGGTGTCATTTCAGGCAATGTTTCGCGCATGACATTCCTCGAACCGAAAAAAATATACGTTCTAGAAGCACGCTGAACGGGTTCTTCCTTTTTTTCTTTTATTAACCCTTTGCATTTGCAAACGTTTCTCTCTCTCTCTCTCTCTCTCTCGTTCTCTCTCTCTCTCTCTCTCTCTCTATCTTTTCTCTGCGTCAGTCGGCCAGCAACTTTACAAAACTTTTCGAACTAACGGTGATACAATATTGACAATGAAGGAGCAATTCTAAAGCTATCTCAGTGTGTTTCTCTAAAAGAGTCGTTATTCGAAGGATACAAGATTAATATCTAATTTGATCGACATTTATAGAGTAATTCTTAGATTATTCAAGGAATCTCGCCCTAGTGGACGTGTTTTTTTTTTCTTTTCTTTTCCAATGCAAAGGGTTAACAGAAC